TGATTACGTGACGGATAACGGGAGAATTGGTATGGATTTCAGTGAAATCACAAGTCACCATCTACATTCGTTAGAAAACCAAAGTAATGAGGGTATCTCTCAAATTATGTGGTCGACATGTCCATCTCGCGACTCAAATGAGTTCAACTTGTCGAAAACTAGGACCCGGAAGGCTCGTGGCTGCTCAAACTCGTGTTTCTTAACAGAACGACACAAGTGTAGTTTAACAACACTTGTGTCGTTCTGTTGATTTCTACCATTTTTCGCTTCCTTTCCTCTGCTTCGACCTCAAAGATTAGACCTCCTAACTTAAGAAAGTCAGAATTATTGATTACGTATCGAATAATGGGGAATTGGCATGGATTTCGGTGAAAACACAAGTCACCATCCACATTCGTTAGAAAACCAAAGTAATGAGGGTATCTCTCAAATTATGTGGTCGACATGTCTACCTAGCGACTCAAATGAGTTCAACTTGTCGAATACAAGGGCCTGGAAGGCTCGTGACTGCTCAAACTCGTGTTTATTGACAGAACGACACAAGTGTCGTTTAACAACACTTGTGTCGTTCTGTTGATTTCTCCCATTTTTTGCTTCATTTCCTACACGTCAACCTCAAAGATTGGACATCCTAACTTAAGAAAGTCAAAATTATTGATTACGTGACGGATAACGGGAGAAATGGTATGGATTTCGGTGAAATCACAAGTCACCATCCACATTCGTTAGAAAACCAAAGTAATGAGGGTATCTCTCAAATTATGTGGTCGACATGTCTACCTAGCGACTCAAATGAGTTCAACTTGTCGAATACAAGGGCCTGGAAGGCTCGTGGCTGCTCAAACTCGTGTTTCTTAACAGAACGACACAAGTGTCGCTTAACAACACTTGTGTCGTTCTGTTGATTTCTACCATTTTTCGCTTCCTTTCCTCTGATTCGATCTAAAAGATCAGACCTCCTAACTTAAGAAAGTCAGAATTATTGATTACGTATCGAATAATGGGGAATTGGCATGGATTTCGGTGAAAACACAAGTCACCATCCACATTCGTTAGAAAATCAAAGTAATGAAGGTATCTCTCAAATTATGTGATCGACATGTCTACCTAGCGACTCAAACGAGTTCAACTTGTCGAATACAAGGGCCTGGAAGGCTCGTGGCTGCTCAAATTCGTGTTTATTAACAGAACGACACAAGTGTTGTTAAACGACGCTTGTGTCGTTCTGTTAATAAACACGAATTTGAGCAGCCACGAGCCTTCCAGGCCCTTGTATTCGACAAGTTGAACTCGTTTGAGTCGCTAGGTAGACATGTCAATCACATAATTTGAGAGATACCTTCATTACTTTGGTTTTCTAACGAATGTAGATGGTGACTTGTGATTTCACCGAAATCCATGCCAATTCCCCATTATCCGATACGTAATCAATAATTCTGACTTTCTTAAGTTAGGAGGTCTGATCTTTTAGATCGAATCAGAGGAAAGGAAGCGAAAAATGGTAGAAATCAACAGAACGACACAAGTGTTGTTAAACGACACTTGTGTCGTTCTGTTGATTTCTACCATTTTTCGCTTCCTTTCCTCCGCGTCGACCTCAAAGATTGGACCTTCTAACTTAAAAAGTCAGAATTATTGATTATGTATCGGATAATGTGGAATTGGCATGGATTTCGGTGAAATCACAAGTCACCATCCACATTCGTTAGAAAACCAAAATAATGAGGGTATCTCTCAAATTATGTGATTGACATGTCTACCTAGCGACTCAAACGAGTTCAACTTGTCGAATACAAGGGCCTGGAAGGCTCGTGACTGCTCAAGCTCGTGTTTATTGACAGAACGACACAAGTGTCGTTTAACAACACTTGTGTCGTTCTGTTGATTTCTCCCATTTTTTGCTTCATTTCCTACGCGTCGACCTCAAAGATTGGACATCCTAACTTAAGAAAGTCAGAATTATTGATTACGTGACGGATAACAGGAGAATTGGTATGGATTTCAGTGAAATCACAAGTCACCATCCACATTCGTTAGAAAATCAAAGTTATGAAGGTATCTCCCAAATTATGTGAGCGACATGTCCATCTCGGGACTCAAATGAATTCAACTTCTCGAATATAGGGGGCCCGAAAACCTCGTGGCTGTTCAAACTCGTGTTTATTGACAGAACGACATAACTCGTGTTTATTGACAGAACGACACTTATGTCGTTCTGTTGATTTATCCCATTTTTCGCTTCATTTCCTCCGCATCGACCTCAAAGATCGGACCTTCTATTGAAAAATATTTATTTTATGCTTATATTAAAAAAATAAAAATCTGAATTTTTTTTTAAATTCGGTTTGGTAAGTGAATATACGGTGTTCTGTACTCTCGGTATTTGTAAGTGCAAAAATCGTTATATAAAAACACACTGCAAATACGGTAGGCAGCATATATGGTAAGTTGCAAATACCGTAGGCAACATATATGGTAAGGTGAAAATATGGTAAGTTGTTTGCAAATACGGTAAGCTGTAAATACGGTAGGCAGCGTATACGGTAAGATGAAAATACGGTAATGTAAAAATACGGTAAGTTGTTTGCAAATAGGGTAGGCTGCAAATACGGTAAGTTGTTTGCAAATACGGTAGACTGTAAATACGGTAAATTGCAAATACGGCAAGTTGTTTACAAATACGGTAGGCAACATATACAGTAAACTGCATATATGGATTTATAATTTGTTATAAATGTATAAAATTTAAAAAAATAATCTTCACATTCAATTCAATCATATCAACACTATCAAAGAATACAAACAAAACAGTTTGTATATTTCTTATTCAAACATGAAATATACAAGCATATTTTTCTAGATAACATACTGCTATACAATTGTAAAAAAATTTATAATTATTTTCTTATATTATGAAAATATTTTTAGATATTGCTTCTAAAACTTTCCAAAAAAATCAAAATTCATACACTAATAAAAATATAATAAATACAAAATTCGTGCAGCGCACGTGATAGCGACTAGTTTAAACATAACAACAGTTACACCGTTTTAATGTTTTATCTCAATCCAGTAACGGCACAAGAGTCGTTTTATAAGCGGTAACGACACTTGTGCCGTTCTTATGAACATGTTTTTGTCTTTATAACGCTACTTGTATCGTTCTCCCTATCTTGAGTTATATGAACATTATCGTCGCTTGTGTCATACTCGTTATTAAGTTTGTCACTATAACGGCAGTTGTGTTGTTCTCTATATCTTTTCAAGATCAGTAACGACACAAGTGTCGTTCTCAATGACCTTTTCATCCTCTAAACAACACTTGTGCCATTCTCTTAGAACTTTTCATCTTAGTAACGACACAAGTATCGTTCTCAATGACCTTTCATCCTCAAGCACTAGATCTCTAAATTATGCAAGAAAACTAGATCATGTGACATAGAATATGGAGTATTGAACTAAGTTAACCCATTTGCTTGTAACGATATTTGTTCCACCCTCATAGATACTTATATAAGTCCAACAACAACAATTGTATTGTTTTAATGAAAGTTTATAATTTATGCAATGTCACTTGTGCCGTTCTCATATACACTTATAAGTCCAGAAATGACACTTATGTCTTTTTTTGAGACATAACACAATAAAGATACACGTCAATATTTAACAAAAGACAAACATATCCTACAGAAAAAATTCATCCCCTAGAATAAAGTCATCCTATTGATATGCGCATTTTCAAATGTAATCTACAACTTTTTTACATTCTTCAAAATATCAAAATTCTCAAACTCAAGTGAAAAATATATATACATTGAAACAAAATAATTTTGAGGGGTACTGTAAAACGCTAATCCTAAGCTCTAGTTACACTAGAATCATACCCCCCACCACTATAATTAACATTATTTCAACCACTACCACTGTACTAATATGTGCTTTCCCCACTCCGAGTATAAGAGTTATCACTTCTAAAATCACGACCACCAAAATGCCCACACCACGTCTACTTTTACCTCTATATGGAGCTCGACTTGTAAACCAAATCAGCCAATGGGTACCTCTTGATTGGCTTATCAAATCAGCTGGTGGCTTTGTTGATACGTGAGCAATGTAGGGAATATCAAGGCCATGACCTGCCATATCTGTCACAACCAAAATTAGTGTGTTTCCACTTTTAAACGATTTCAATGCTAGTTCTCTTTCTTGGAACAACAGGTAAATCAAAGTCAAATCAAGTAATAATCAATGTACGCGTAATGATACAACGTTTAAGCAACTAAAGAATAAAATGATTCAATAAAGTCAAGGGGAAACACAACCTTTTAAATTGCAAACTTATATACATTATTTAGTAGGTGAAGTTCCAATCTACAAATAAGGGTACTGTGGTAAAAATAGGCAAAATATAATATGAAAAAAATTCTGAAATCAACAAGTGTAAAGTTTAATAATAGAACTCACATAAAATAGGAATTACAGTAAAACATAATATAAAGAATTTTCCTAAAAATGCCGAATTATTTAAATCAAATTATTCTTAATGCAACTCTCTAAGTTTCAAGGCATATCAAAGAACAAGCACATTTACATATCACAATTTCGATTTA